CCTACGCAACAATAAGAACAAAAACTATGACAGCGGCGACCAGCAACCTCAACAACAAAAACAGCAACAACAGCAACAACAGCAACAACAACAACAGCAAGAGCTGTCGGTAAGCAGTAAGCTATTGTTGGAGTAACCCAACACAACAATGCAAAAGTACGGTGTGTAAAATTTGAGGCAGCAACAGCAGAACGGAAACAAAGCCGAAAATGGCTCGGCAGACACAAAGAAGTCACTCGCCCAAAACGTGCAAAAACTATTTTGGAACTCACAACTTGGACAACAACAATAAGATGAACAACAGCAGAGGCCGCCATGACGGCAACGTTGCCAAAGTATTTGCAAAGTGCGCGTCAGAAAAAGTCAAGGGCAGGCCTCAGCGCCCTGCGCCGGCCGCTTGCCCAAATCCAATCAATAAATTCGAACTGAAGGAAAGAGTACAAAAAATAAAATAAAATAAAAAACTGTAAAGATGGTGCGGCTCAGGGATGGAAAACCGTAAACGGCCAGTCACCGGTCACTCACTGCTACATACTTACAAGTATGTAGTAGTTCCTTAATGACAGAAATGCTACAGGAGCTGTATTTAAGTCTAAAATATCGATGCGAATAGTCAAATCCATGTTGCAGCCACAGAGATCAACTCGACTAAGGTCGCCTCCTTTGTCCTATAACGGTTTTCAGAGTAATTTAAAACAAACAAGGGAGAACGCCACAGTCGAGCAACTCCCCCAAAAAAAGGAAAAGAAAATTTAAAAATATAAAAAAAATTAATTATTTAATTATTAAATTAAATTAAATAATAAATTATTATTGATTTATTAGAAAAAAAAGGAAAAACTCGATCTGCCTAGGGCTTATGCGAACCTCGATATCAAATTTGATTATCCTAGCTCTTGAACTTGCTGAGATCCTTGCGCTCATACAGACGGACGGACGGACATGGCTATATCGGCTGGTCTTGTCATACTGACCAATAATATATATACTTTTAGGGGTCCGCCATGCCTCCTTCTGTGTGTTACATACATTCGCACTAAACTAGTACACCTAATTCTGTTTTTAAACGGTAGATTGGTTCCAGAAAGTAATGTAAGAAAAAATCGTGTAAAAAAATACATTGATCATGTTATTTTTAATCGTGCCAAATGGAAAAACGTCATGCAACTATATATAAAATGTTTAATTTTCAAACCGTGTTAAATGGAAACCGTGTAACCGTTGGGTACAGGGTATAAAAACGACACTCATATACCCTCTATTCGGCCAGTAGTCGAATTAAGATCACTTTCCATCAGCGATTTTTGTTTGTTGTTGCTATTTAAATGAATTCGTTGACGATACTGTCGATGATAATATGAAAAACACTATATCAGCATCTTACAAGATGCCCGAATAAATAAAACCAAGGAAAGATCTTTTACGAAGTGACAATATAGTGATAATATTGAAGAATTCTGCGTTTTGTCGTGGAAAAGGTGAAATATTTAAAACAATTTGAAGGTTAATACTCGTTTCTTACATGACTTTCTGGAACCAATCTACCGTTTATAAACAGAATTAGGTGTACTCGTTTAGTGCGAATGTATGTAACAGACATTATAATGATCTTTCACAGTTATTTTCGACAGGGCTCTCTCTCTGTTCTATCAAATCTATTCTTTATAATTATCTTCGGGGAAATCTCTGACCACTTACTGCTGTGAGTTGGGGCATAGCTTGCCGGACTGGCATTTAAAATTTCCCCCACCAGGTTGCAGATTTCACTCTTTTTCTCTTTTTCTTTTTCTTTTCGTCTCTCTTTCTACCTTTCTCTTTTTCTGTTTCTCTGTCTCTCTTTCCTTCTTTCTTTTTCTCTTTCTCGTTCTACTTCGTTCTTTTTCTAATTAGTTGTTAAATAGAATTAATTTTTCACCTTTATCTACTTTTTGCATAGTTTTTTAGGTCTTTAATGTCTCTGACCGCATATGGCTGTGAATCGGGGCATAGCTGGTCAATTGGCAAATAAAATTCCCCCAACGTGTCGGAGGCATTAATAGACGTCATTGTACAGCTTTGTGTTAGGCTTTCTTATCTTTTATTTTGTTTAGTTTAATTTGTTATATTAAGTTTTATAATATAATCGACAGTAGTATTGTTGATATTATGAATAAAATAAAATAAAATAAAAATAAAATACTGTTATTAATCAAATAATATTAAATGTTTTTATACAAAAGCTCTACAGTAATATTTTACGACATTGCATTCGGCGTTCACCAAGAAATATCAGTGATCAGTAAAAAATCTGATCATCCATACTTACATGTATTCATGTGTGTGTGCCTTTCAAAAAATTCAATACACACTTGTCCTGATTAGTGCTTATGAAAATATGAATAGCATGTTTTTTATTTCCCGAGATCCTTCCGTTCATACAGACAGACACAAACACGGTAAAAAGATGTCCGTTAAGCCGTCAATCCGTATGAATAGCAAGAGCCTAGTCTAACAGCTAACAGCCTCACACATTCGAACATTAGCTTGATTACAAATCATATAAAGTCCTGCCGGCATAGAACCGATCTTTGGGGAAAAAACACTCTTAAGCGATCATTTTTCTTACGTAGTTTAGTTCCATTTAGATAAGTATGTACACTACAACATAGCTTTAGTTTAGGTTCCTTCAACGGTAATCCATTGTCACCATCTATGACAACAACATACCTGTTCTATATGAAATATGATAAATAATAATTCGAACATTATTGATGAGCCGTCTTTCCAAAACATCCTGTGCATTTATTCGTATCTCTTTTTCTTCTTCCATCAAATTTATATGAGACTTTGGTTTCAAAAATTAACAAAAATATTTTAAAACGTTGTAAGGTTATTTTAATTTATGAGCTAAATTTTTTATTTACTTCTATATATTTTAAACATATTATTAGAGTATGTAATATATGTAGGTTGAATGCGTTATGAGGTTGTTATCCTAAAGTAAAATAATATACCTTAGTTTTCCTTAATGGAAAAAAACAATTGGTGTAAGGTATAAATAATATTATTAATCGTTTATTTCAGGGTTTAAATTTAACGAAAATCCATGCGACAATTTTCCTTCAGCCTTCACAACTTAACTTCTTTTCGATAACCCTTTTACAATCGATCATTCATTTTAAAGTTAGTGCTGGACGAACATTAACGTGGTACGTGCCAGGGTTACTTAATCTTAAATAATACCTTATTCCTACATATAATTATATATACATTTAAAAAAAAACTTTTTTTAAAATAATATTCTTAATCGTTTATTTCAGCGTTTAAATTTAACAAAAATCCATGCGACAATTTTCCTCCTGTCTTCACAACTCAACTTCTTTTCGATAACACTTTTACCATCGATCAGTAATCTTAAAGTTAGGGCTGGACGAACACTAATGTGATACGAACCAGGGCTACATCATCTTAAATAATACCCTATTCCTACATATACATATATGTGCATATAACAAAAACTTTGGCTAGCTTCGGTACAATCAATTAATCGTATCCAAACGGCAGTTGTCTGCCTTCTTTCAGCCCTGGGCGTTTATGGTGACGCTTCCAGTGAGAGCCCAAAGTGCAAGGAGCAACCACGTAACGCACGTGCCCATAAAAGGGGAGCCCCAGCCACAACCACATAAGCGGATTGTCCCAACTTAAAACCGGAACCCATACAGACAACTGCGTGAAATTCAATATTAAAAAACATACTTTACAGAAATACTTTCGAAAAAAAAGCAGAAGAAAAAACCTCTGGCTTTTAATTGCACTCGCGTTCGATGGATTTTTTGTTGGTTTTGCCAGTATTGGCTGGGACCTGGCCTGATAAAAAATTTGGCTCACATTATCATCACATCAGTGTGTTCAAGTGCGTGTAAATGTGCGCGCGAGTATATACGAGTATACTTTTCAGTTTCAATGCTTAATTGCAGCAACAACAACACGGACAGCAGAACCGTCGAGGCCTGCGTGTGGCAGTCCATAAAAACTGGCCTATCTCTCTCATGGCAATAGCCTCGTGAAAAGCAACTTGAAATAACGACGCGGCAGCAGCAGATTCGTCAACGTTGGGTTAGGGCTTGGGTCTGTCATGTGGGTGGGGGTTGGATTATTGCTATGTTCTATGAATCATTCCCAGGCGGGAGTGACCCTTTTCCAACACCGACATACCTATGGCTGTTTGATTTAAGCTTTCAGTTGTGATTTAATTCCAATTATTAACAAGTAAAATAATTTTCTTTCAATTCGAGGCTAATTTCTGATTGAGTTCGGGTACAGTTTCAGATTTTAAATATGTATTGATTGTCGACATAGGTCGACATGCCTAGGTGGACGAAATCTAAAACAAATTATAATTATATCTAATAAACGCCTCCGACTTGGTGGGGGAATATTATTTGCCTTTCGGTTAGTTATCTCCCGACTCGGAGGCGTCAATAGATCTCCCATATAAACAGAAAAAATTTAATAGAGAAAGAAGGCTTAGAATTAGTTAAAAGCAAAATAAAAAACAACAAGATAGAACGCTACAGTCGAGCATGATCGACCTTGAAATACCCTGTACCGGAGTGAAACTGTTCCGCTAATAACTTTTCTTAGAATTAACCGATTTAGATAAAATTTGAAACAAAAGTGGATTATTATGTATGAGTTAGTATGGGTGCATAGTTTGGTTAACATAGCTCTTGAAATTTGGACTGTATTGACGAAATTCTAGAGCGGAGAAAGGGGGAAAGTTCAAAAAAAAAATAAAATAAATAAACTCATGTAGCCGAGGGACTAGGAGCATCACATACCAAGTTTGGTTAACGTGCGCTCAACAGTTTCCGAAATCTGTCTGGATCAATTTCTCTCGTCATGCTGATTCAGAATATATACTTTATGGGGTCGGAGATGCTTCATCCCACATGTTACATACTTTGCACAAACCTAATATACCCTTTTACCCTACAGGTACAGGGTATAAAAAATGAAAATATTGGAAATCGCTGTGCTTTATTGTTTGACTCATTTCGTATTTAGACTGAGCAATGATGAGCACAAGAGCCATATCGTACTCCCAACTTGGAATAGAGCTCAGAGTGTTTGTCGACAGGAGAACCTCTACCATGTGGCCAAGAAGAAGTTCATTGTAGTGGGGAGTAGATGGCTTCCAAGATTTCTTTCTTCAGTGAATTTGTGCAACTCCAAAAGTTTCATCTTCAGTTTTATAAAATAACATTTAAGCAAGATTGGTTATTTTAATATCAAAGCTGTTTTAGCTTTGGTTACTTACTAATTGTATATTTATTCTTGGCTAATCGCAACCCTCTATACCCTCATCGCTAAAGTCGTGACTCAAGCGGTGGGGCCGGTACCGTCAGCTTCGTTCAACAGATTTGCACTGAAAATATTCCGAGCTATATAAGTAGCACAAACGCGGTTGTTTATCTAATTCACCTTTATATATAGAAGAAGAAGACCGCTTATAAGAACGCTTGTCTGTTTGGTTCGTTACGAGCATATTCTTGCGAATATATGATCATAAGTATATATAGTTGGGGCAAGAATTATCTTAAGCAAAAGATAAAAATTGTTTCTTCTCACCATCCTGTTTCCTTTTTCGTTATAAAAATATATCAGGTATGGTATAGTTTCTGTGTTAATTAGCATGTACTACTAATTGATGTTTCGTTTCGTGTAATTGACGCTGCTGCACATAATATGATATTCTGGAATCACAGACTCTCATAACTTACTTGTAAAACTTACACGTGAATTTCATTTAAGCTTACCACCCATGTTTAAAGCAATGGTTTTTCCAAACTTTTCGAAAATTTTGAATATTCATAACTTTTTGAATTTTAGAAATGTTAGTACGACGACTGTAAGTAAGAAATAAAATGAATTGTCATCACAGGAGAAAAGAGTGTATTTAGAAAGCCAACTAATGTAAATTTTAAGCTATAAGTATAGTATACGGGTATCTATACGGGTATAACGACTTCGTTTGTTTAAGGTATAAGAATTGTAGAAATATGTGAAAATTTAGGAAATTCCTGTGGGAACTGAACGCACATTTTTGAGGACCAATTAGTACGTCAATTTTTTTTATTTTTATCTTAATCTTTATTCAAGATCTGTCCTTTTAATGCTTCTGTCATGATGGTTGCGGATTGATTCGAACCGAGTGCCCACTCGCGAACTCACATTGTGGGATTTCTACTAGCTCGTTCAACTATTCCAGCCCCCAGTAGGTCCACTTGAGTAGATAATATTTATTATATTTTTGAGTGTGTACTCGATTGCCACAATTTTGCTTTTGGTATCAAAAACGTAAGACTACTTTTTCCAAGTGTCTATCAGAACTTGTAAACATGTAAGAATCATTTCGATTCGTGAAGAGATCGATAAAACAAAAGTACCAATACTTTCTGCATTTCTGAAAACGCATAAAAGTTATAAAAGTGCGGCATTGCTAATAGATGGACATTGGTTTTAGGAGTTTTTCAATAAAAACGCGCTTCATTTAATTCCATAACTCGTCAATTGTATTTGTCCTTTTTTAAATGCCATCGTAAGGCGCTAAAAATAGAATAAAAACTACAACTACTTTCAAAGGCGCCTATGAATGCGTGGATGTGGGTTTGCGGGTATGTGTTGAGTCGAGGGGCAGGAAGCACTAATGTGCCACAGCGTGGCAAGCCACAGCCACGCCCAGGGCACATACCGCATACCGCACGCACGACCACAGAAGCACACCAACGTGGAGAGCACATGCCCGAAGTCAACTTTTTAGCCAAACGCTGCCAAACCGGAAATGGACAGCTATAAAATATACGGCAGCAGCAGCAGCAACAGCACATACAAAAGCTTGAACAACAATAATGAAAACTTTAAGGATAACAAACTCTAGCCAGTGGGAAACTTTACCGAGCCCAATCAAAGCACAGTGGAAAGAATTCATTTACTACAATGCCCAAATACTTCGAAAAAGATAAACAAACAAACAACGTTCTTATAAACTTATAGTGCTTCTACCCTCAGAAGCTTAATGCAAATATCGCAAACAGACTGTGAAGGAATATGTTACGAGTTGTAGGCAATTAGTTTTAGCCTTGCAAGAGGACTCGTCAATTGATCGATAAACGGCAACAAACCTTGAAAAGCAAACGGAACAACAGAAGGAAGTGAAGATCGCGATCACAAATATTTTAAGACTAACAATAAAATAAATTATTTTTTGACGACCGATCCTTATGAAACTTCACTTCAACCCCAGATAAATATAATTGTGAAATAAAATAGGAGGTCCTTTCCTCCCATCGAAAAACAAATATAGCACCAAATGTTATAAACAGAAAGAACTACCCATAATTCTCTACATAATGTGGAAAATGTGGAATAGTACTTTATCAAAATTCTAATGATATTTGAAATAATGGTATGGATTCAGATCACATTTGCAAAATAGTGTGGAATTATGGGCGCTATTTACTTTATTTTAGGTGAGGATAATAAAACCAAAATTAAATTGGCTTCCCAACATAGAAATAAAACTCGATATCAATTAATTGTTTCGTAAAAATAATATACAATTTAATCTTTCATATAAATATAGGCCAAAAAATATAGTTGTTAACTGAAAACATGTCGTTTTAAGATAACAATATGGAAACTTAACAATTTGATATGAAAATATTTGAAAAAAGTAGATATACCTCACAATGATATTGAAGGGATTGGGTAAGCGTTATCCTTTATTGGTTTTGTTCGGGCTTGCTAAAATACCAAACATTTTGTGTCGTATGAACACCTGCATCTCAGAGACTATACGAGCTAGAGACAGCAAATTTTGCACAAACATGCGTTATGTGTGTATTTTTTTAGTTTCCCCCACCCTCTTCCCCCCTATGGGGGTTTTGCGGAAACGCGGTTCGAATAATCACCTATGTCTCGGAGACCATGCGACCTAGGAGCACCATCAAGATGTCTTTTGTGAATACGCAGAAAATGTGTTTTTTGGAATTCCATACCTCCCGTAATTATTGAAATTTCGAAGAAAGAAATTATTTTAAATGTAGACTTTAGATGGAATTTACATATTTTTGGTGGCCAGTCAAGCGGAATTGATAAAGCTCAGAATGAAGACTTTTCGATTTTTCTCCATACATTCGTAATGACCAAAATGATCATAAAAAGTGGCTGGCGATCTTTAAAAAATCGTTTTTGAAATAAGAGTGCTCTACTAAACGCAGACGTGGCCCAAATCTGCAAGCAAACATTCTTATTTTTGAAATTTTAATTATTTTATTTTTTTATGAGACCACTCATAGAATTGTGTAAGAATATGTAATTTTTTAAATCGTTCATTATGATGGTAGCGCTGAACCTATTCGAACCAAGTCATGCTCATTAACGAACTCACATTGGACAATGACAATAGATTTTACAGCCTACATAAAAATAAAAAAAAAATCTACTGACACAGCCGGGGAACTATAATCTGTAGATCTCATTAGAAATCGTTTTTTAAAACTTATTCTGCACTTATGTAGTTATCATTCGTGACGTGTGATGCAACAACACCATCAGAAACCTCGGTAGAAACTATTTGTTTTCATTAGCTTTAGATCTGTGGAGGGAGTGGTTATTGAAGCAGACTTTGATCGTATATATATACTATATATGATGTACATATATAAAAATGCATGCTATGCATGCGATTCTTCGTTATGGTTTAAGCAGTGTACCCTTACACATTGCCATGAAGGGTAAAGTGTTGATGAGCAGTCGAGCTGTGAATAGTTTTTATGCAGAAGGACCTAGAGTGTGGGCGACTGTGCCGTGGCGACTGCGTGTTTGGGGAGGTATGTATGTATGTGTATGTTCTTATCAATTGCTACAGCGCACAAAAGTATGCTACATATAGATAGAGATTTGCGATACAGCGCAAAATTCATAAACAATATTCTACATGAATTCAGCTGCGGCAGAAGGCAGACCAGAAGGCTCAGCTTCTCAGTACAAGCGGGCGCCCAATTTCTTTTTGTTTAGACATTTTGCTAACCTGCGTGCGCCGATGGTGTCGGCCAAAGCCAGAGGTGTCTACTATCGCTGCCTCTGCTGCGACGCTCGTACTTCTGCTTTGGCATTTTATGCTATTTTATGGAGCAGCACTAATGGCGCTTTATTATTGGCAAAGTTTGTGCCTTCTTCTTTGCTGGTGCGCTTTTTCTTCATTTTTTTTTATCCTGTTTTTGCTAAGCTGCGTGCACCGGGGCAATTTATATGGAAATAGATGCGGCACATTTTCTATGCGGATTTTGTGTGCGTTGCTTGGCTGGCTGGCAGGCTTGCTGTTCTTGTTGTTGTTGTTGTTGTTTTTATATTGTTGTTGCACAAGCCGTGGGTAGAACAAAAATCGATGCTGTGCCAAAGATTGCTTTACACTTTACGTGGCCTTTTTTTAATACTCTTTAAAAGTGGGGAGTGCGCCCTGAAATAAAGCAAACGACCTTGAAAACTTATAGTTCCTTTCACATATACGAGTGCCTACCGGAAGGAACAGCGCCAATATTGGCTATTCGAATAATTGTTTAAAGCAATGAAGCATGATGCTCTTATTGCTTACGGAGCGTAAATCATTGCAATTATTTAAAACGCTGATGCTTACTCTCTATAAGAATTTGGAGATATTCTTGGATTTTGTACATTTTCTTTCCTTTCAACCGACTTCAGAAAAGGAGGAGGTTATCAACCAAGTATGTGCGCGACGAATGGACGAATAACTCAATATGACGCCAACCGATTTCGATGATTCAGTTTTTTTTATTGGAAAGGGTGTACTTCAAGGGTAGCTTGATGAAAGTCTTGTTACGTTCTATAAAGGAGGACGTTCTTAATTAACTGCATTAGAGCTGAAGTCGGTTTTTTTCTGCTAACATTTTACTTGTTATAATTCAGAATTTTCATTGATTAGCAAGGCGCCTGATGAAACGGCGAAGGAGGCTGAAGAGGTCACAACCTATTGACCTTGCCAACAGATTTATGTAAATCATAAATGTTAAATTGTAATTAAGACTAAACACCTAGTTTAAGTTGTATTTGTATTTAACAGAAAGTTTCATATAAGTTATAAATATAAGAGTATAATTTAGAAAAAAGTTTAAAAAAAAGAACTTTCATAAAATAGTCCATAGCTCCCAGTTTTTAGCATGAGCTCTAACATTTATATCGTATGCACTCTTCTCAAATACAATTTAGGAAAATCGGCATGTGTTGAAAGAGACGGTTCTTATAACTTCATTCAAAGTTTCTCCATTCTGAACTATTCACGCATTAGCCATTAAGTAATAATGGTTTTCAAAGATGTTAGTCTTCTTTTACTTTTAAAATAGCTTTTTTCATTGTTAATTAGCCACGACCTTAATGAACAATTTAGTTTGTGGGACAATTTTTTAAAGGGATCTTTTATTTTGGATATTAATGTTGTTTAATAGATTGATAAATTAATATAGACAATGAAGCATTGGTAGCTCGAAGCTATACATGTTAAACAGTTCGCTTTGTGGATGTATGTAAAAGGAATTTCCGACTAAAACGAAAGTAGTAGTTCCGCCTGAAGTACTATCGCGCTCTCCGATTATAATAGAGATTTACAAAGTCGTAATATATATTTACAAAATAAAATTCATGGAAGATAAGGTGGAAATGGAAGTGTTATCCTTTTTATTGGTAGCAAACATTTAGTGGTGCATGAAATAAGAAAAAGCAAAAATAAAATGGAATAAAAATCAAAAGCAAGTAGGTTTGGAAAATATACTCTACTTTTGAAGTCAAGTCAAAAAATCGAAAATAAACATTTTGTCAGTCTTCTTTTAGCTTTGCTATGATCCGGACATTTCGGAATAAAATTCAAAATATATAATTTTTTTAATATTTTGGAACTTTTCTTTGGATCTCAACGAAATTTCAAGTCCTTGGGCGATGGTAAGTTAATTTCTCTGTTAGTCTTTGATTGTTTGAGCATTGTCTATTCATTGTTGTGGCTATAGATAGCTGCGCTGATTCATTTATCTGCCTTTTTTTATAAATACGTGAAAAATGGATTGCCTGGACACAATTATGCTAAAAAATTTGTTTAATCCACGGGTAAGTTGGAGTCTGCCAAAAAGTCTAACTTTGAAAAGTGAAGAATCAAGTTTCTCCTAAGAACGGATAAACAAGGAACTATCACACACACCCACACACTCACGCACACTCCTCACAAGTATTTATTTGATACTTTTCCATCCGTCTCATTCTTGAAATGTGTAAGTATTAAAAAATATTCATTCGTGGGATCTAATTAAGTCTGTTCGATTTCAGACGGAAGCTATAACTTACCTACTGAGGTGAACGGTACCGAGCTACAAAGCTACAGATGGATTGCGTGTCGCCAACGAATTTTAAAATAGAATTTTGAGAGCTATATACCTCGTTGTACGTACCTCTTGTATAAATTTGAAAATGCTCAACGAAAATAAATTTGCGTCGAGTACAAAATGCCTTTAGTGTTTTCCAATCGTGTATTGAAGTATACTTTTATTTCAGATTTAGATAAATGAATAAGCAATTAATTGTCAAAGGGGACAGGAAAGGAACTTGGGCCTTTTTATCGTTTTCAAATGTTTAATTTGTTTTCTTGCAAATAAATTCATTTGCAAACCAAATATTAAGCAGAATGTTAGAAAAAATATTTGTAAACATCATGAATGCCAAAAGTATTCTTTTTTATCGATTTTTAAAAACCCGATACATTTTTTCGAAAACTGGCGATTGTGCATCTCTAATTCTTTATAGCATTTCAACCAAATCGGAGAAGTATTGCGTTGAAAAACTTTTAACATTTAACTCTAGCCAGAAAACTTCTACCAGTTGTAAGTACACGTAATGCATATTTTCAGAGGCTGATTGTTTATTGAACCAGCAACTTGCTTAAGCTATAAGCCATTTTTTTGTTAAATGTGTTGAGTCAACATTTCGGAGCCCACATCGTTTATGCACTAAAATTTTTTGGTTTCCCATAAATAGTTTTAAACTATTGCTATTTTAATCATGAAGAAGAAGATTTAGTTTTAAAACACTGAAATTTATATATAAATAAAATATATTGTGTTTTAAAGTAAAGTAGAGCAAAAAAAAAAGATTTATTTACATGTATTAAGATAAAATTATATGATATGTATTGTTAAGGTGCATTGAATCGATGTCAATATTTAATGCCTAGCGTACTTACTCCAAAAATAACCTAATACTTGTAACTCTAGGATAGAGATCTCAAATAAATAAATAAAAACAAAAACAACCATATATTTTGTAGCTTTCCGTGAAGATGCCACATACTATCTAAGAACCCGCATGGACTTCAGTACGAGGGAAGATAAGTCCAGATACCATGTTTGGTGGCCCTAATTGTTATGGGGGAGGATATGGGGGCATACCTGCTGCTTGTATATCGATTTTTTTCGTCATGCTTATTATACGTATGTGTCTATAACATGTGGTCTGTCCCGCCATATTCTGCTTTTGATTTAAACTAGTATTCCGCTTCGGACACGGCATAATTAATGGGGGAAAAACCTTAAAATGAAATTTTAAAATAAGAAGAAGAATTGTGAGAGATAGAGAGAAATAGAAAGCAGAAGAATTGAAAGAAATAGAAACCGAAAATAGTTGCTTTTCAATCAATCAATTCTTGGTTGATATACAAAGTAACTAGAAGACGTTATTTTTTTTTATCGGAACTACAAACATAAGATAACATAAGATAATGGCAACTTTATCAAATCTTTATCAGTCCTTAGTTCAGCTAGAGCATTCAACAGTTAGGAGAGCTTCTGCTCTTACTTCGGATTTAAATTTAGGCAAATTATACACGATTCTCTCCTTGTCGCTGTCACCCCTCCCTCGACCAAGTCCTCATTGTTCTACATAAATGGGCTGGCAAACATTTTGGGGGAGGCCCGAAGTGCTACGCAAGTTTGTAAACGCATATCTGTCCTGCCGGTGCATTCCAATAGCCGAAAATGCATTTGCTACCGAGTGGTTGTGCTTGGGTAAGGAAAAAACGTGCAAAAGCCAACAAAATCAACGCATAGTGCCGTATCCGTACGTATACGACAAAAGGGAAAGAAATGTACTCGTATAAAATTACAGCTAAAACGTGAGTGCGTGCGTTGCTTTAAACTCGAATTTAGCCGTAAGTGTAAAAAGAAGTGAGTGTGTGTGTTGGCGAAGGGATGGTCTTAAGGTGTGTGAGTGTTTCTCTGTGTGTGTATGTGTGTGTGTGTGTGTGTGTATAAATATATATATATATATATTCGTGATTGCTGCCGCTGCTAGTAATTGGTTTTCGTTGGCTAGCAAATAGCAGCGGCAGCAAACTTTGCCTTGCCATTGATAAAATCAATTACACAATCATCTATGTACATGGCATACCCAAGCACATATACATACATAGATATACTAAAGGCACACATACGACCTATTCCGACAACATATACATAGTACTTTCAATCAAATCGAGCACTCCAACAATTACTCAGATGTGTGGGTGATGGCGCTGCTTTGTACCCGACACGCCCACGCAATTGACCAACGCAAATGAAGGTTAAACTTGAAATGTGCACAAGAATTGGATGTGTGTGTGTGTGTGTGTGCTAAGGATTTTAAATTAATTTCGGTTCGGATGGCATTGACCACAGGACATCGAGAAAAATAAAGTCTTCTTAAAGTTCTGCTGGCACTTTTCTGCCTGCTGATTGCCACCATTTGTATGCCCAGTACGCGAAAAGTAATTCCGTATGTAGAAGAGCCCACAAGCTACGATTCAAAGATCCTTTTTTTTTACATTTTTTACATTAAGACAGATTGTTTGTGACTCCAATTTCATAAAAGTCTCTTACACTTTAGGTACAGGGTAGAATTTACAACTAGAGAATTTTGACTAATGCTGTGGGGGCTTTGCTCTTCTCAAGTTAGTTGTTTTTCCGCTTCTGCTATTCTTCACAGTTGGGAATACTCGTGATCGCAGGGACAATCGGCACCGTGGCCTTTGTCCTTGTCGAGGGAAGTTTCAGGCGACAGCATCGTCAGCAGGATGCGACACAGATACCGAAGTAAAAGTGTTGCCAACGAATAGTCAAGGAATCTAGCCAGTACTTGATTTAAATAGCTGAACATATTTTGTTAGTCTAGCACGTATCTGTGTCTAGTTTTAGGTGGAATTCTAGATAAGACTTCCTAGACAATATTTATAATTGTTGTTACTGTAATATCATGTTTTTGGGGCGCATGTATTGAGCTTCTATTACGTAAATATAGTTATATATGTATGCTTTTAGAAATGTATATTGTGTGTGTTTACATGTACTATACAAGTACGGATATTTATAATGTTATATATTAAGCAATAACGATTGTAAAGTTTTTGGTAGAATATTGTAATTTGTTTAGTTAGAGAATATGGCAGTAGTCTGTACGGCATGCCAAGCTTAAGTATATTAAATACTCGCAAGTTTCTTTTTAATAAAAGTTCACAAAATGTCATGCTATTTAGTAATTCATTAGCTCTTAATATACTATACCCAATTCGAAATTCTCCATTGATTTTTTTGTTAATTATTTCGGTGCCAAAATAATTCAAACACGTCGTATACCTTCTGCTTCTCTACTTAGTCCCAGAATATAAATTGAAATGCTGCGACAATTGTCGGATCTCTCGCCGATCCCTCTCGAATTTCTATGCTTCATAGATTTAAAAAAATATTTGGCCTTTTTAGTCGTTTATTGTTTATTGAAAACACATGAAACCATTTGTTTTTGTATTAATATTTGAATAAGCATTGTATGTGTTAGTTCTGTTCTAATAAACTGAAGAAGAAAATTGTAGATGGGATCATCAACTAACCATTCTGATTCCCAAATATGTATACAACACTAAGATTGAGTGATGGGTATTGATCACAGCACGACGTCACTTAAAAATGGAAAGCTATATAGGTTGGATAGTATAGATAGACGTATAATTATTTTTGTATGTGGTATTGCGTAGGTACATATACGTATGAAGATGTGCTATTATTGGTTTTATTTATACAATAATTCCAAACAAGCGAAAATGTTATAGTCGTGCAAGCCCGACAGTGAAATTCTATGTGCTCACATCTCAGTTATTATTTACAATAACCATTTTTAAATGTATGGAATGCTACAAATACAAAAGCAAACTAGAAGCTCATTCTTATTTATAATTCGGGAAAATCTATTGACAATCTCCTGCCACTGGACACGCACAATCGCTCTGTGTTTATATCAAAGACATCGGCTTAAGACGTTGCAATGCGTTGTCTAAAAATAGATTTCTGTTTGCAGAACAAGGCGATAATACTGATTAAGTCGGGCATGTGAGAACATGATGAGTCTGTTTTAAAGTGTTTCATTTTACAAGCCCTTTGTATTTCCAACAATTAACCACAATGAGCACAGAAATATAACTATATCCTTAAAGTTTGTGTCAAGTTTGGGGACTCGGCAACGGACTCGATCCATCTTTGCGTCTTTTAGGAAGTACTTAAGGAACTACAAAATTGCAAACCTATTTAATTAGTGTAAGACTTAAGATATTATTTGTTAAGAAGAAGAAATTCCTCAGCCATGTGTACTACAACTAATCATTGTAGTTTTGCTTGGGATATGCACTCTAATTTGAAAGACGATTACTTAACACTGGTTAAGCCCTACCTTTGTCCTTAAAATTGTCACTTACCTACATTCGTATACCAACACACAATGAAAGCTTTTTTAGATAACATTTAAATGTTATGTAATCGGAAAAATACAAAATGAAGGCGTATGCGAAGAGGAGACCCGACTTTGTCGAGAATAGGGAATCCTTTTGCCTCAGTAATTGCACAGATATCTCCCTCGAAGTCTTGTCAGTTTACTACAGAAATAATATATACATATATAAACATAAACGAGTTAAACGTTAAAGTCGCAGCTGCTCGATTATTGTATATATTCCCTGTACCAGATCACTTCTTTCAGACACATTCCTTAAATAGAAAAAGCTTCTTTCCTATGACAGCTATATGCATGGAATATTGCATCCAATTCGATGAAGCTTAAGAGTTAATTTGCAATTTGGTTGCAATATTTGTGGAAGGCAAAGCGTAGCAGAAAATACAGGACTTGGCACAGTTACAAGACACGTCTTCTTTATTCGAGGACTCGTCAGAGACTGAGTTCGAGCGAATTGCTCAAGCTACAATGTACAGCGAGATCGGGGAACCAGCTGACAGGGTTGCCATAGTTCCTATGTACATACTTATCCTACTACATATTGTTATTAATAAAAGTTTCTTGTAGAGCTCACCAATATCAAATGTGGTTAATGTATATAAAATAAAAAGGCTATATATGACATGTATTAAAATTTCTCAGCGTACATGTGGATAAGACAAGTATTGTATACAACGAAGTTTTTGGATTTATTTATTTTT